GTTAATTAAACTAACAAATATTACAATTGTCATTAATGACATTTGAATAGTAAACAAAATTAATTCAGTTTTACACAATTTATTTAGTATAGACATCTTGAATGCTATCAACCCAACTGTTGTATTCTTCCGGATAGTTTAACCACTTAACAAAATACTGCCTACGACCACGTCTAACACGACTTCTAATAACTCTTTCAATACGGTATAGATTTTCTTTGATCTTTTGGATCTCTTGTGGATAAAATCGTTGTTCAATAATATTTCCTTGTCCATCACTTAGTCTAAACACATATTGATTATCACCTTTTATAGTCTTTACTACAGTAAAGACTTGATCAGTCCAGTTAGGGTAATAACCTTTATCAAATTTAGACATTTCGTACACTTTACGTACTAAATCTCCTGTAGCGACATCTGGTGTTTTAAGCTTTTTAGATTTAACATATAAGTTATTGTATACTTGTTTTGTATTTTCTGTAGTCACTTCAATAGGTGACATACCTATAGATCTGTGATATGATGTATTGTATGCATTAACAAGTTTTTGTAGTACATCTACATATCTTCGCGTACCATTAGCAGTAAAGTATTTAAACATACGTGACTTTAATGTACGATTAAAGCGTTCAACTATAGCACATTTTATTTTATAATCATTTGAGTGAAAGTAGTTAACTCTATTTAATTTCAGATATTTTTGAAATATTTCATTTAAAAACTCTTTTCCTTTATCTGTACGTAAAGATAATGGTTTTCTGTTTTTAAATAGTGTTTTAAAAGCATTTGTAATGCTTTTTCCTGTTTTAACTTTCAATGGAACAGTAAATGCAAATTTAGAAAAACAGTCAATTACTGTTAAAATATAATTATATTTATCATTTTTATTAGCAAATTCTCTCATATCAGCTAAATCTGCTTCCCATTGCTCATCAATATATGTCACAACAATAGGATTTCGTATAAATTTTCTGTGTACTTGTTTATGTAGAGTATAAGTTAACTCTCCTTTTAACCAATCTTTTACTAATTTTAATGTTATATTTGGATTTAATTGTTTAGCAGTTTTATACAAATTATTTACACCACTAAATGATCCACTATTTTGTGGATCATAATATATTTTATTCAACAACTCATTTATATTTTGATCCATTGTATAGATTTTTTAGATTTAGATTTTTTAACAATCTTTTTATTTACTACTTTTTTAACAACTTTTTTGTTAGGTTTATGAACTTTTGTATTAACTTTGCTTTGTTTTTTAGTTGTATTAATTAAATTATTTTTAATTAAAACTTTTAAAACCATATCTTCTATTATACTTAAAAATGAATTATTAATATGTGGAAAATTATTAATATGTGATAAATTGTTTTTAATATTGCCATCATTTGTAACATTGTCAACAATGTTTTTAGTTACTAATGTGTTTGGTTTAATTTTATCAAACGGTTTACTATCCACACTCATTGTTGAGATATCCATATCGATGTCATCATCACTATCATTAGTAACCAATTCAACTTTTCTGAATGACATTATTTTTTTATTAATTCGTATACAGTTGTTAGTAACGGTATTAACCACATCCAAGCGTTTCCTTTTTGTACAACACTTTTACAAGTTTTTAAACTTTGTTTCCTTTCAAACTTTTTAAGTAAAAGTTTTCTACTTTTATTCAATTTTTTAGTTTTTATATTTCCTTTTATAACATTTAATCCAATTTCTTTTATAGCTAAATATACTTTTGGGTCTTTAGCTAAATAATTCAATAATGTTTTTTGTGTTTTCTTACATTTTATTTTAGAAACAAACTGCAAATCTCTAAAATATTTTTTCAAATTATCAGACATTACTTAGGAATATAGCAAATAATTTTCAATTTATTATTAATTGGTATAATATTTGTTTGTACTCTATATTTTTCAGGTGTATCCTGCTTTAGGTCTACTTTAATATAACCATATTGAACAGATGTGGCGTCAGTATACACTTCTATAAAGTATTTTGAATTTTCCGGATATATCTGTGAAGCTAAACTAATTATCTGTCTTTTATCTCTTGGGTTTTTAAGTAATATCAAATAATGACAATTTAAACTAATTGTCCTCATTTGGGACCCTTGATGAAATATATTTTGTGATATAAATATCACACTTATATTCATATGATGACTACCTTTAGTAAATAAATTTGCTAATTTAACATTATTTCCCAACTCAGTCATCAAATCATCAATAACTATGAGATGAGGTTTAATCTCTTTTACTTCTTCTTCATTGGGTAGGCCTTCAATATATTGTATATCACAGTCAGCAATAGATTTAGTGTACAATTCTTGCCATTGTCCGTATGCCCACACAATTTTTAACTTATTTGGTATATCAGTAAAATATAAAGTTTGTTTATAATTCTCCAATATATTTCTAAGTAGTACAGTTTTACCACTACTTGTAGGTCCAGCGACCATACAAGTGAATGGGTGTTTAAATGAAATGTGTTTTCGATCCACTTTAATGCAATTCATTTTAAATAAATAAAACATAGGTTTAATAATAAAAATATTTATTAAGCTTTTATAAAATTTTATACATTTGATTTTGAATCAAATTTCCATTCACAGGTAGCTAACTCGGACAAGTATTTTACTAATTTGTTAGTATCTTCTATTATATCATTTTTCAGTCCAATTGCAGTCAATCTATCKGTTACAATTTTCATTCCYGGCTCTGARAGCATATAAAATTTCATGTTTTTCAAACGAATCAATTCAGTTTGAATGCATTGGTCYTGTTTTGGTTTYTTAAGTGGTGGTTCTGAAATGATATWTAAATACATTAATTACATAATTTATTATAAATAACACAATACCTTCCAATAGTTTTTTCAAATAACTGTCTTTGAARTGTCGTTTAGCCATAGTAGTAGTGAGTATAAAATAATTTTATCAAAAACATTGYTTTATATAGTCAATTATGACCTCAATATCTATACTTAGTTTTATATTTAGATGTTTATTTATAGTTAATGTAAATAAAWTRAACATAAAAATAGTTTTTAATCACATTTTATTCAAATTAATTTCAAATAATTAGTACAATAATATAAATATAAATAGTATTAAATAGTTTTAACATATTATTCATAAAATCCATAGGGGACAGTTTGATATAAAGGGTGTCCCCTAACAATCCTACGTTTTTCAGATACTGCCTGATATATCTTATTTACTTTATTTGTTGTCACGTTGTGCAGTTTATCTGAACGGAAACATAATTGTGGAGCCAGTGTTGTGATTGATGTATTGTTAAAGTAGTGTTGAGCAGTCTCTTTAACTCTTTCAAAGTTTATTTTATGCTTTACTTCTTCAGTGATTGAAATGCCTTTTACTTTAACTTTTTGAATCACACGGCCATCACCAGTAACGACCTGATAGCCATAGTTTTTGGGACCACATGAAGTAAATGAGTTGATATACGACCCTTCTTTGTAATCTTTTTCTATTTCATCGGTCATATCACCCAAGAAGTCTCCGATCGGCGGGTCGTACCAGACTTTGGATGGGTCATGTCGGTAAATAACAGAGTCTGTATCAAAATACAATACTCGTCCCTTTGCTGAATTTTCAATGCCGTGTAATTCACGATACAGATGTATACGTGCATTTCCGGTAACCATTGATGCCAATGCAATGTTTGTATTTCCAGCAGATGAATAGTTGTCGTCAATGTATTGGTAGTTGACTAAAATAGTCTCATCATTGGGCATAATTTCTCCTAAAGTATAGTATAATAAATAATTTATATTATTATTTTTTTTAAAATGTATTTTTACCTTTTATTTGTATTTTAGCATCAGATATAATGCTACGGTATGCATCATATGTTTTGCAAAGTTTAGTTTGTTTTTGGTTAGGTCTTTGAGCCAGTTTTCCCCACAAACTATTCAACATTAACTTTGCAATGAAACGAAGACCGGGATTTGGTGACATCTTATCAAAGTCCAAATCCACACCTTCACGACTTTTGTACTCATTGATGTAGTTTCGCTTTAACTCATCATTAGTGCAATTATCAGGCCATCCACTTGCCTCTGTCTTGAGTTTAAGCCATTGTTGTATGTATGGCTTAAATATTTCATTAGTTTTGCGTTCATAATGCAAAACCTCATATATTTTAATAACTTTGTAACCCATTTCAATTGCTAGTTTGAGCTCTTCAGAATACCAAGTACTGCTGAGAGCTCTCTCTTTGTCGTTATGACTACATTTATTTGGATTCATATCCTTTGCGCATTGATTACATAATGCAAATACTAACTTTTTGTTTTCTGATTTTAATGGTAGTACAGGTATGTATAGATCTTTGGGAGGCAATACTTTACATTTGATGAATCCAAAGTAATTGTCAATTGATGTATCGTTGAATTTACTAATTATAGATGGATGACCAATAGGGTATTCGCATTTTGAAAGTACAGTCGGATATAGACTGCACACGTCTTTATATTTGATCACCTCATTACCAGTACAATCAGCGTTGAAGAACAAATTGTTTGTACGACCACCATAAAACGACTCACGAATATTTGCGTGACCTATTTTGTCAATTGTTTTATAGTATGCCATACGTTTTGTGTGATATGATTTGAACTCAACATCAGTTGTCAAAAGCTTATCAAAGTCGTGTTCCCAAATAGATGTCACTTTGAAGCCTCTAGACTTGTAATATGTTTCCTAAAGTGTATATAAATATAAGTAAGTTGTAGATAAACAATAATTTATTTAAATACCTTTTCTATTGTCCTTTGATAATCTTTGATTGGGTCTACTTGTACAATGCCATCATAGTTATCTCTATGTCTGAACAGATGAGTACATTTTTGACATCCATGCCAATAACATCCATTGAACTCAAATATCTCTCCGAGTACACCATCTCGAATACAACCATCAGCATAGTTCTGTCCAATTCTCATCTCTCTACAGATCTTCACACCTCTCTTCTCCTCCATCCAATCAAGCCATACATTGCCTTTGTTTGACTTGTGGCGTCCGTCAATATATCCATTGATGGGTGTGACACCAATCATATCATCCTTTAGTATTTTAGCTCTAAAATACTCGAGACCAACACCTGCTAGTGTAAATCTACGTGTGATTGGATCCAATCCGGTGAATCCTTTGAAAAGTTTGCGGAACTCCATGACAGCAATTGTGAGTACAATTACATCATTTAGACAATACTTTTTGATTTGTTGTTCAAAATCCCATAAGTAATTGTTTGCTTTGAAGTCATTGTACCACTCCACACACTCTTTAGATGATCTCATTTCATCAATACCAAAATGTTTTATGTCTGGTATCTCACCCGAGTAGCCGTAGTTCTCTTTTCTGTTGAAGTGATGGGGAAAAAATCCTTTGCTTACAATGTTTTGAAAGCCGAAAGATTTTGGAAGTGAAGCCAATGGTTGTTGGAAATAACTCAGTGAGTCGATGAACGATGTGTTATTGTTTGTGATTTTGAGTATTTTCATACCATTCATAATGATATCACTCGGATCACCAAATTGTCTTTCAAACAATTCCTGGAATATGAAATGACCATCATATCCCCGAAAATTGTGCGCAATAACGTATAACTGTGCTTTAATTTTTGATGCTCTTACAGCGACATCTTTGAATAAATAGTCTGAAAACTGTTCGACTACATTATCCTTATAGAATGTACGGATACCATATCCGCACACTTTACATCCGTCATTTGGTTCATCAATTGAGGCATCGCATCTTTTCGCCATTTGTTGGTAATCCCAACATTTGTCGCAAACACATACTGTGTAAAATATTTGTAATTAGTATATATTTTCTTTCATAAAATTATTATATAATAACTTACATGAAATAAGTAGATTAGGTTTGTGATCATAAAACCCATTATTTTGAGCTATCTGTTCACTTTCAATATCAAAACAAACTATTAGTTTGTTTTCTTTGTCTTCTTTTTCCAACTTATTCATATCTAATGGTTTTATATAGCAAAAATGTGGTGATTCTTTGTAAAACACATTACATTTTGTACATTTTAGATGATAGCAAACATGTTTTACTCTCCTATCAGTTGAGTATTCAACATTACATGTATTACATGTTTTTGATTTAACTTTGCAGATATTGTTATCTTTGTGATTTTGATAACATTTATCGCTAACATATGTGCGATTGCATAAATCGCAATCTATTTTCTCACTGTTTTCATCACATTTGGGATATGCAGAACAATAGTTACACACATACTTACATGTGTGATTGATTTTTTGATGTTTCGTTAAGCAATATTTACATAAATTTGATATTTGCGTATAAGCATTGATGTCTTTAATAAAATTATAATGACCAGTGTTTTTGCCGTAATCAATATGTTCAATGAATAGTTTTTGGGGAAAGTCTGTAGAGCCTTGAAATAAATAATTGTCGACATTTGATGAGTCGACAATTATCAGTTGTAATCCTTTTGATCCGTCAGTCAATTCAATAGTGCTGAGATACTCCTGCATTTGATTCCAATGTTTTTCCCCAAAAGGTTTATTGTAGTCAAGTCCTGCAGATTGACACAACTTTTGTGACTCGTCTTTTTGATATTTGTCGGAATAATTGTTAGCAGTAATTTTTCTCCATCTACTGTTTCCACGAAGTGTTTGATTTGCAAAGCATTCTACAAACCATATAACACCAATCCAAATTGCACGATATCCACAACCAACATCTGTAATTTCATATTTTTATTATTTACATAATATAATACATCTTAAGTTTAAGATTATTTACCATTTTTGTTATCAATCCGAACAATGCATTTTATACGTTTACTTCTTTCATCTGAAGTTTCCGGTGGAAGTTGTCTCTTGTTTTTCATATTAGGTCCAGATCCTTCTAGCGATTCAGTTACATAAACTTTCATTTTAAATACGGAGAGCAAAAACTCTGTATTAGATTGGATGAGACCAAAGATTTTGTTGGCAAACTCTTGTTTATCAAACTGTGAGATTGCTTTACCGCCCATATATAATGGTTTATTTAAGCCCTGTGCTTCGATTATCACACTATAATAGTCGCTAGCATTGTGGTTACGAAATGCCGGTCGCACCAATGACTCATACATCTCATCAATTTGATCATTAAATTGAAGCAAATTATCAATTGAACCCAAATTGTGTTGAAATCGAATAACTTTACGATGCTCTTGTCTTTTAAGCTTTATATATGAATGGGTAGAGTCATTCAATACATGAAACTTGACTAATTGTTTAACTAAACAAAAATTTTAATTATAATAATTGCATAATAAGTTATATAATTTTAATACATACCTGTATTGTCATTGTTGTCATTGTTGTCATTGTTGTCATTGTTGTCATTGTAGTCATTGTTGTCATTGTTGTCATTGTTGTCATTGTTGTAATTGTTGTAATTGTTGTCATTGTTGTCATTGTTGTCATTGTTGTCATTGTTGTCATTGTTGTCATTGTTGTCAGTGTTGTTATTGTTGTTATTGTTGTCATTGTTGTCAGTGTTGTCAGTGTTGTCATTGTTGTCATTGTTGTTGTTGTCATTGTTAATATCGTTGACAGGTATGTAATCAGTAGGTGTGTTAATGAGTGACTCCTGACTTTGCGAATATGAATCATAAACACCTGCTCCCTCTTGTACTGGTAAACCATAATTATTGTTGACCAACAAATCAAGGTTTACATAGAAGTCGTCACTGAAATCATCGTTAAATATGTCGTCATTTACATCAAGTATTTCGTCATCCATTGATTCTCTAGGGTCGGGTATTGGATTGTCTATATAGTCCACCGATGACTCGTTCATAGACTCGTCCATAGGCTCCGGAAAAGATGAGTTGTCCATTGCGTAGAGAAAATAATTGTTGAAATACTGAAAAGTATACTTTTATAAAATTTGTTAATATTTAAAATTTTTATAGATTAATATTTAATATTATAGATATAAATTAATTAGTAAAAATAGTTATCTATTTTTATTAATTAACATTAATTATTTTTTGTTTATATTTATATTTTTGTATTTATAGATAAATTTCTATAATAGTATTTTTTATTTAATTTTTAAAATATTTTTTTATTTAAAAAAATATTTTCAAATATTTTCAAAGAATATATTTTTTTAGTTTTTTTTTAAAAAGTTTTTTTTTTAAGTTTTTTTTTGAAGTTTTTTTTTTTGAAAAGTTTTTTTTTTGAAAAGTTTTTTTTGAAAAGTTTTTTTTGAAGTTTTTTTTTAAAAGTTTTTTTTTAAAAGTTTTTTTTTAAAAGTTTTTTTTTAAGTTTTTTTTTTTTTTTTTTTTTTTTTTTTTTTTTTTAAAATTTTTTTTTTAAWTTTTTTTTTTTAAAAAGTTTTTTTTTTTTTTTAAAATTTTTTTTTAAAAAGTTTTTTTTTGAAGTTTTTTTTTAAAAGTTTTTTTTTTTAAAAAGTTTTTTTTTTGAAGTTTTTTTTGTGCTTACTTTATTTTTTTATAAATAATCACAAATTATAAATTCAAGACTCAGTTATACACTGATATCTTCCACTGGCGAGTTAATTTGATGTATGTTTGAATACAATGCTAGCCTCAATCCAATGTATTCCGTACTACAGTCTATAAGACACTAATTTGTTAATTTGACCGCTTATTAGTTAATTTTTCATAATTATTTTTTTATTAGCTTAAACTACACATTTTTAAGCATCTTTTAAGAATAAAAAATTTTAATTTTAATTACAATTAAAAAAGTTATTAACAATTTAAGTTAATTAATATATACAGTATATGTAATATTATTGCAATACAGTATATGTAATATTATTGCATACAGTGTACATATTATTTCAATACAGTGATGTCATTATATTACATGTATTGTATGCAATAATTAATGTTAGTTCGGGTAGTTGGTCAGCTCGGGTAGTTGGTCAGTACGGGTAGTTGGTCAGTTCGGGTAGTTGGTTCGGGTAATTGGTCAGTTCGGGTAGTTGGTCAGTTCGGGTAGGTAAGGTTCGGGTAATTGGTCAGTTCGGGTAGGTGGTCAGTTCGGGTAGTTGGTTTGTTCGGTAAGTTGGTCAGATTGGGTAGGTGGTCAGTTCAGGCAGGTAAGGTTCGGGTAATTGGTCAGTTAGGTTAGGTTGGGTTAGGTTCGGTTAGAGGTAGTGGTGACGTCATTAGTGTAGTACACTTAGGTTAGGTGGAGTCACGTGATCACGTGAACCCCCTCTCCGTGACACAGTTATATGGGGGATAGCACTGTGCCTTCCCCTCGTGAACCATGTTGTCTTAACTACTATTATATAATTTAATTGTATTGTTGTTATTGTTGTTTTGAATAGTGTCATCAAAAAATATTAAACTATAAATAAATTTATTAAAAATAATTTTTTATTTTCAAAAAGTTTTAGTAAATGATTGTTTATAATATCTAAACTTTATATATTAATATATATATAAATAAATAAATATAAACCTGTATTTTGTGCGTTTAATTAATTCCCTTAAAATTAAATAATCATATGAACACAATAAATTTAAACCACCAAATAGATGTTGCTAAAATTTAAATATAATAATAATAATTTATAATAATAATAATAATTTATAATAATAATAATAATTTATAATAATAATAATAATTTATAATAATAATAATAATAATAATAATAATAATAATAATAATAATAATAATAATAATAATAATAATAATAATAATAATAATAATAATAATAATAATAATAATAATAATAATAATAATAATAATAATAATAATAATAATAATAATAATAAAAAGCGAAAGACGAAAACAAAATACAATGTTCTATAATAACGAAAAAATGTTCTATAGAAATCAAAATAAAATAAATTCAAGCAATATTAACAATACATCACAAATAGATGAAATAGAAAACTACTGGAAAGAAATCTGGAGTAACCCAAAGGAATATAAAGAATCAAATTGGATA